TGCCAGGGAGGGGGCAGCCACAGCTTCTCTGGGCAGCCTGGGCCAGGGCCTCACCACCCTCTCTCCTTGTTGGCAGTAAGCCTTCAGAGAGACAAGGTACAGGATAGTCCCAAAAGTCAAACCAAACATCTTAAAAATGCAACTCCATGAGGTGCTTCTAAAGTTCTTTGGACACAAGAATCCTTCCTTTGGCGGCCGCCCCACAGCCCCCGCCCGCGCGGGTCTGCCCGACCCATTCTGGGGACGCTTCACCCCAAGGCGGCTGCGCTGTGCGGCGCCAACGGCCCCAGCACGCGCTATCTCCAACAACTGTCAGAGCACCACGCTAATCAAGATGAAAATTTGGCCAAGACGACGGCGCTGTCGCATCCAGGGCGTTTGACCACCGCGGCCGCCTGCGCTCAAACAGCGACCGCGCGGGGACGCGAGTGACACGGGGCAGGCCTGGCCAGCAGGAAAACCAGCAGCAACCAGCGTAAACACCCAGCGCAAAGGGACCGCCAGGGAACGCAGGGCTTCAAAAAACACACCCGCTTTCTGGAGAGGAACGCCAGGAACGGACCAGCCCACCTTCCTGGTATGCGGTCACGCTGCTCCACAACAGCGAGCTGCAGCCGACTTTATCTGAGAACAATGTGTGAAATCATGAGGAAATCATCTCTCCGAAATACCAAGCCCTGTCATTATTTAGAGGGTTTGCACGCGGCACCATCAGTATGATTTTTTGAGTGAATTTCTTCATTAATATATTTTTAATGCTGCTTTAGGGACATTTGCTGCTTCTTATCAAAACGCAGTCTTCCAATTCCGAATTTCAGTGCCGAACAAAGCTGTGACTTGAGAAAACACATTTAACGATCGATACCATTGACCTTATCCTCTGGGGAGAGGAGCTGGACTCGCTGCCCAACTCTGTTGCGCCTACAGATCCAAGCCCTGAACCAAGACCCCCAGCTGCTGCGCTGCACATCATACGAACCAACCACCCCAGAAGATACTTCCCAGCACGGAAACCCCACAGTTGGAGCGCGCATTCTCACATAAACCTCAAGTCAAGTACCACAACACAGTTCTTCTGATTTCAAAGATCTGTGACCTCCAAATGCACAGAAATGGAAACCCTTTTCTTTGTAAGTACATTATTTTATTTTAAAGGTGGTAAAACCCAGAGGATTATTTAATTTTATTATAACTTTGTATGTTGCATGTGTATGTTGCATCCCTCCAAGGGAGGTTCTCCTTCCCCTCTACACTGCCCTAGTGAGGCCCCATCTGCAGTGCTGTGTCCAGTTCTGGGCTCCCCAGTTCAAGAAAGATGAGGAGCTACTGGAGAGAGTCCAGTAGAGGGCTACGAGGATGAGGAGGGGACTGGAGCATCTCTCCTACTGGAGAAGAAAAGGCTGAGAGGGGACCTTCGAAATGCCTACAAATATCTGCAGGGTGGGGGTCAGGAGGACGGGGCCAGACTCTTTCCAGTGGTGCCCAGCGACAGGACAAGGGGCAACGGGCACAAACTAAAGCAGAGGAAGTTCCAGCTGAACACGAGGAAGAACTTCTTCCCTCTGAGGGTGACAGAGCCCTGGCCCAGGCTGCCCAGGGAGGCTGTGGAGTCTCCTTCTCTGGAGATATTCCAGACCCGCCTGGATGCGGTGCTGTGCAGCCTGCTGTGGGTGACCCTGCTTGGGCAGGGGGTTGGGCTGGGTGACCCACAGAAGGCCCTGCCAACCCCAACCATGCTGTGATGCTGTGAAGTGCTGTCTGCGGCCAACACACGGAGCCCCGCAGTCGTAGGGAGAGCCAATGCAGCGCAGCCCTGCGGAGGGAAGAACGTCGGTCGAGGTGGCCAAGCGTGAGAGGGCTTCTCCTCCTGCCCGTGCTGCAGAGCAAGCGGGTCTTCGGGACGAGCTCCCGAGGTGGAGGGCGCTGCCGGGATGCTACACGCTTGCTTCAGGAGCGCTACACCTACGTGAACGCTTCACACACAACTCCCGTAAACCAAACCCCACCTACGCATCTCGTAAGACTGCTCGGGATTTACAGGGCTGCTGGCTAATGGCAGCTCACAGTGACAACAGCTTCTCTGAGAGCCGAACATTCTTCTGCGAAACCTGTCAGGAATGTGCCAAATTATTCCTCGGTGCTGAAAAATGCAGTGGTTTTCTGTCTGGTCTTTGGGATTTTATACATCTTCGTAGCTCGCTGCCTCTGCCTCTTCTCCCCCAGCCTCCCCTCCCTTAGAAGCCAGCGGAGGACGGGACAACGGTCCCTCCTTGGCTCTGCTGACCACTCGCTCTAACAGGAGCTCGTGACCAACCCTGCAGACGTTCTTCTCAAGAGCCTACACACATCACCTCCCGCTCTCCTGCTTGCCCTTTCCCGGCGGGAACGGCCCGGCTGCGGGCTCTGGGTGCGTCCCAGCGACCCGCCGTGTCCCAGCGAGCAAAGCCGAGCTCCCCAGCTCCCGGCACCCAGCCCTGCCTGTCGGCTCCACAGGCACCAGCCCAGCGCTGCTCGGTCACGGACGGGGACACCGCCACGGCACAGCTCTGCCCACGTGTCCTCAAGGCTTCCCTCCAAGCAAGAGCTGCAGCCCGAACCCAGAAAAGCACGCTCTCATCATTTCTTGAAGAAAAAAATATGGTTGAGATCCTTCTTGGCATGGTGTGCTCTGTCCCTGTCCCTTCGCTGCGAACAGGCAAAGGTTCCCGATGTAATGTTGCAGAACTTCCCTGAAACTCGCACTTCTGTTAAATTAGGGATGTTTTAAAAATGGTATTTTTATTTTTCAAGCTAGTAAAGTGCTTAGAACGCTACTTCCCATTAATTTTAGCTGAAAATTAAGTGACCAAAATACATAAACACCCCAAAACCCACACGTGTTTCATTTTTTCCCCTGAATGCTGTAACTCAAACCTTTGAAACTCCCCCCACAACAAATTATTTCAAATAACACTGCATTATTGCACACAGCTGAAGTTTTAGACAAATGCATTTACTCAAGTGACTGTATCTGAAAAACACACTCGGTGCCCAAAAGCCTGATTTTTTTTTTTTCTAATTGTAAGATTGGGAATAAGGAAATATACTCTTTCGCAAAACCCCTTGATTTATATAAAATTTATATTACTCCAACGCTCATTTACATTCTTTAACAGTGTATTTCTCTATTCATAGCTATTAACTTTTTCAAATTACAGCAATTACCTGCTCTTAAGCTCTGAAATCTTAAAATACATTTAGCAAAGTTGTTTGAGAACAGCTCCTCAGTTAAAGCACTTCCCCTCTACGTCAAAAGCCTATTACCAGCTCACACACTGCAAAGCCATGAAAAAAAATGAACTGACCACAGCAAGCGACTGCGTGATCACATTCCTTCTTCAGCCTCAAGACACCAGCG